GGGGCTAAACAGGCAGTGATGTAGAAGCAGGCATTGATCATCTTCTGCGGAGGCGGTGCTTATCCACACTGTTACATCATAGAGTAGAACTTTCCGCAAGCTGATGTTTTAGCAGACTGGCTTCAACATAAGCTGTTTTTAGACTAACTACAAAGTTTTGAGTTCTGAAACTTACAGGATGTTTTTATAGCACAATGGCCCCTTCATATGTCAAGAGATCAAGGGAATTATGGTTTCTAACTTTATGACCCCTTTAAATTAAATGACATTACTAGGAAAAATGGGCACTTTAAATTCTATTCAGATGTTTAAGGAGAGATTCCCAAGCCATGTTTGTCAGCCAAACTACTTTAACCAGACACATTTATTTGAAGTCCCTCTGAGATTGTAAATTAATATTTAATTGAACATAATTTTCATATGTTCATGGTTCTCTGATGTTGGTCAGTGATCATGTGATGTCTAAACAAATAAAATCTTGTTTTAGTCATTTTTATTTGTTTTTATTTTAATATTTTTTAATTTGAAATTAGTATGGTTTAATCATTAGCCTTTCATCAACTTGCAGTTTCTTCACAAACCCTAAGACCTGAAGTGAATCAGCATTGAGCTGACTCGAGCTGAATAACAACACTATTGTCTTCCACAGAGCTGCTTATCGCTGAATTAAACTTGTGTCATAGTTGATGAACTTTACACAGTTTATTACTGTGAAACTGCTTTGAAACAATCTCTGTTGTATAAAGCGATATAAAATAAAGGTGACCTAGTTTGGGAAATACTGCTGTAAGGGAAGCAGACAGATTTTTCCTTCTAATCATAAAATGGATGAAAAAATCCCTTGGACTTTGAAGGAGGGACCCAAGCAGATTGTGCCATGAGGGTTGAGCTCTTCTGACTTGAGCCACTGAGCGCCCAGAACAGCCTGTGCTCATGATGGCAGCAGCGTTTGCTCCTGTCGTCTTCCCATGATCTTGATGTTGTAACAGCAGTCAAGTGTAGGACTGGGCAATACGGCCAAACATATGATCACAATCCATGTCACAGAATATCGATATTTATCATGATATTCAGGAAATGCTTTCAACACGTTTGTTAGACATTGAAATTGAATGTAACGATAATTAGTTTGTTTGCAATTAAACTCCACAGAGCTACCTTTTAATTTAGCACCCAATAAATTCAGGTTTATTTTCCCCTAAATTTTGTTTTCCGTTTTATTTAATGGATTCTGTGTTTCAAGATTCAATACAAATTTGTCACAAAAAAACGGTGTCTAGTTAAATGAGTTAATAAAGCTAATTTAATCAGTCTTTTAAAATGTAATGAAAAGAATGAATTTACAACAAAACATTGCATTTTATTCTTTGTCAAACAAGATGCTGCACAACAGCACTGTATAAAATAATGAAGAAATACCTTGGTTGCATGATATTCCTTAAAAAATATTATTATTATTATTATTGTTATTATAACTTGAGAATTACATTTTAGTATACAATAGTAATATACTTCTGTCATAATTTCTTCAAGTTAAGCTGAACTTTTATTTTGACGGGTTGTCGTGAAGGTCTTTCAGTTTTACCTTCAGTTTCAGTGTGTATTTGACGTATTTCTTTTTCTTTCTCAAAGTCAACGGTGTAAAGCATGTGAAGTGACTCTCAGAGCAGCTCTGGAGATGAAGTTCTCATGTTGATGTCTCATTTATTGAGAAAAACCGCACCATTCGTTCACACAGAGGCACGCAGAACATGCATTTTATCGCGACTCAATTTGATATAGTTTTATCACCCAGCCCTAGTCGAGTGAGTTATTTCTGTAAGGCTTGATTATGTTTCTCTCTTAGGTCTCCTGCTTTGACTTGTCTTCATCTGTCAGCCAGTGAGTTCAGCGATGTTCCCTCATCCTCATCCGGAGGAATAGCAAGCTTCCTGTCCAGTGCACCTTCAACACAATCGCGTCTAGCCTCTACACAAACCCCCAAATATTTGGGCCTTTCGAATTTTAGTGTGTTTTATTTAAATAATAATTAAGTTGTTTGAGGGAATGTTGTTCAAAAGCCATTTTCTTCTACTAAACATGGAGACATTGATTAGACATGATTACGCAAAGTATTTATGAAAGCGGTCGTAACACGAATGACATTCTCTGCATACTCCACATTGTGATATTGTAGATGTTTGCAAGTGTATCAGTGTGTAATCGTGGTGCTCTGTCGATTTGTGCTACCCTTTCAGAATTTGCTACCTCCCATTAAAACAGTGGGTACAATTCGACAACGAAAAATGCTACCTGTCAAATTATGGTTTATTAACGTCCACAACCCTAAACCTACCCTTACAGTAATGCAAATACAGTAATAATTGTTTTTCAGCGTGAGAAAAAGGATGCAATTCATTCTCTTGGTATAAGTGTGAGGACACTTTCAGCAAATGTTATTTTTTTGGGGTGAACTATTCCTATAAAAGGCACATCCTGAATAGTTTTGTCATTATTTACTTCACATCACTAGAGGGCAACAAATCGTGACTGAAACGCTGCAAGCTTCCCAGTGTGAAACTAGGATGTCATGATGTCTTTTCTTTAAATGTTTTGTCATTTTGAACTACAGATCAAATTCAAGATCTTGATCTTCTTTGCAGTCACTTTGATAATATTTGCCGATGGGAAATTAATGTATTAAAGACATCAGTTTCATATGGAATGTGTTAATCCAAGCATATTTTGACCAATGCTGTACAGAATAAAGATGCTGCATGCTGTCTGTATTTCTTGAAGTATGGGCTGTGCTGTTTTCTCACAGCAGTATTACATACAGTGAAAAATGGACAGTTGAGCTCAGAAGTATTGGCCCCCTTGGTAAATATAAGCAAAGAAATCTGTAAAAGTAGATCTACATTGTTTTTAATTTTTATCTTTTATTAAAAAAAAAAAAATCTAACTTTTCAATCAAGTAAAACAATTGAAAATGGGGTAGAAAAATCTATAAAATAAATGTTATCATCAAATACGCATAGGCCAAAATTATTGGCACGCTTTTTGCAACCTCATTTTGCCATGATAACAGTTCCGAGTCTCTCTTATAATGCCTGATGAGTTTGGAGAACCCTGTTGTACCCTTAAAAGTCAAACTTTTGAAAATTATTTTTCCCTGGCAGATTTATTAGCAACAATTTCAGAACATAACACAATCCATCTGAATTAAATTTTTTTTAATCAATTTAAATACATTTAATTGCACAAACTAGGCTAATTATAATAAATGTTAGACATACGCACAAAAGTTCGAAAGTTTGATGTTGGTAAGATTTTGAATGTTTTTTTTAAAAGAAGTCTCTTCTGCTCACAAAAGCTGAATTTATTTGAAAATGTAAAAATTTCAATGTAAAAATAGTGAAAAAAATATTGATTTTTAAATCAAAAGTAAAAACTAATATTGTGAAATATTAGTTTAAAGTAGCTGTTTTCTATGTAAAGGTATGTTAAACTGTAATTTATTCCTGTGATGCGCAGCTGTATTTTCAGCATCATTACTCCAGGATTCAGTGTCACATGATCTTCAGAAATCATTCTAATATGCTGATTTGCTGCTCAAGAAACATTTCTGATTATTATTATTTTTTGTGAAAGCAATGTTACATTTCATTCAGAATTATTTGATGAACAAAGTTAATAGAACATTTATATGAAATAGATTTTTTTTGTAACAATGTAAAAGACTTTACTGTCACTTTTGATCAATTTAATGCATCCTTGTTGAAAAAAAAAATATTCAAGATCTAAGTATGTAGCAGACAAAGTGTTATGATAGATGAAAATCATCAGCTGTCCTGTTTGAGTTTGAGTCGATCAGCTTTCATTTTAGCCCGAATCAACAGAAAACAGGCTGGAGTTTCTCTCCGATAGATCAGATACACTCGCCCTCCTTCTGCACCGCTCACCTATGGGGTACCTCAGGGGTCCCTCTTGGGGCCTATCTTATTTTGTTTGTATATGCTCCCCTTGGGTTCGATCATGAGGAAATATAATATTTCATATCATTGTTATGCTGACGATAGTCAGATCTACATCCGTCTTAACTCTGATCACTCTTATTCTGACCTTTTTAATTGCTTTGAAGATATTAAAGGCTGGACTGGCAGAAACTTTCTCCAACTAAATGAGAGCAAAACTGAGATTGTCATCTTTGGACCCCCAGGTTCTGTCTCTGATATCACTATTAATCTAGATTCTATGTCATCAAACATTCATCCTTTTGCTAAAAACTTAGGTGTGATTTTTGACACTGATCTAAATTTTCAAAAACAGATAAGTGCTGTGGTGAAGAGCAGCTTTTTTCAACTAAGGCAAATAGTCAAATTAAAATCTATGCTCTCGTTTAAGGATTTGGAGATAGTTACTCGCGCCTTCATCACTTCCAGACTTGATTATTGCGATGCGCTTTATATGGGTCTCAATCATTCATCGCTGAATCGCTTGCAGTTAGTCCAGAACGCAGCCGCGAGGTTGCTGACTGGTACTAAGAGGAGAGAAAGCATCTCCTGTCCTAGCATCTCTTCATTGGTTACCGGTGCAGCATAGGATCCATTTTAAGATTTTATTATTTGTGTATAAAGCATTAAATGATCTAGCCCCATCATACTTGTCTGAACTTCTCATGCATCATCAGTCAGGATACCGTGTGTGTGCCACTCAATCAGAGACCAGCTCAAATAATGAAATCACTGTCAGGAGTAAACTGTGATAAACTTTTATTTATGCACATCACAATATACAAACAAATTTGTACATAAATATTCCAATTCACCAAAAAAATAAGGCTAAAATATTTGTAAAAATCTAAAAAAAAAAAAAAAACATCTAGCATGTAAAGCCAGAAAAGTGACATTCGGTGTAAAATGAGACGTCACAAAAAAAATGCATACGAAATCTCAGGAACTAAAACATCCAGAATTCTCTAACATTCTATATAAATTTACTCTTTTTTTGGTTCAAATACATTTTTTTCTTCTAAAATTGCACACAGAACAGTGATATAGTAGAAACTTGAGCGTGAACATGTTCTGATATGTGATTCAGTACTGAGACCAACATGCATGCGATGGTTACAGGACAGCGCTAGCTAACAAACCCCTGTTCAACATCTAAAAACAACCAATCAAGAGCGTTAGCACCAAACCAAGTGCTCAGTGTAGCACACTACACTAGTGACTGCAGCTTACAGAGAAAATGAGACCGAGAGCAGGAATAAAGTCTGCTTTGCATAATCAGTGATGTGTGAACGTAATGCTTTCCTGAACTACTAAAGCACTGCAGTGCAGGCAGAAACGCACGCTGGTGTCAGGTCAAGGCAGAGCCACTTCTGAAGCGTCAGAAGCAACGCAGGAACACTTGGTGACTTCTAGCAGAGATCTAAAGCCTGTGCTGTTAAAGCTTGAGAGTAAAAGCGCTAAAATAAATAAAAAGACATCAGAGAGGCGGCTTTCTGGCGTTTGGTACAGCAGAGCGATGATTTCACTCTCACAACCGGAGCTGCCACGAGATTCTTCATTGACATCGCTAATAAAAACGACAAAATTAGCTAAAGAAAAACTCGCTCTCTGTCCTTTGGTTAGTGAATAATGACGGGAGGATTGTGTCATTATAAAGGCCGGCAGTGTTATTCAGTGCTGTCTGAAGGCTAAAAACATGGATGATGTCTGGATGACTGTAAACCGAGTTAAGTGGAGCTCCACTGAAGTGACGGCCGTGTTCAAGCTTCACAGGACTGACTCTGGGGCGTGATGGGAAGAGCCGTGTTTGGATGGCTGTAGTTTGATGACCTGGCCGATGCCTTTGGTGACTCCCTCTCTGAAGAGCAGCTTGGCGCCCACCTTCAGATACTCGGGGTGCTTGATGAACTTGAAGCGCACCACTGCCTTCTCGCCGGTGCACAGCTCGTCCTGCAGGAGACAGATGGAATTTGTCTTCAATAATGGCATTACATTACACAATTTTAAGTAATATAATCAGATTACATTTAGATTACTTTTGATCTCGTTTATCACATTGATTTAAATCAGATAATCTTGTACCATGTTGGAAAATATATTTCATTGGTTGTTATTAACAGCATGAAGTGCATTAAACATTATATAGTTTCCCAAACAGGGTTTGTGAAGGAACTGCAGGGGGTTTGTGAGTTGAATGAAAAGCTAATAATCAATGAAATCATAAAAATGTTCAATTAAAATAAATAATTTTAAAATAAAACACTTACAAAAAACTCAATATTTTATTTGTTTACCCGCATGCCATGTGACCATAACCAACGTCAGAGAACCGTGAACATGCAGATATTTAATTATTAAAATATTTATTTAAAAAAATTCTAGTAATTGTGAATTCATGAATTTGTACATTTGAATGTGTATGAAAGACAATAGCCTTCCAAAGACAAAGTAATGCATGGTAAAATAACCTATAAATCAAATAAAAATGAGTGTGTTAATCAGTAGTTCTCTTAAACCTGAAATGATTTTGTAAGTCCAGTGATCAAATGCTGTGTAGCCACCTGACTAATGACTGATCTATGGTGTCAGCATTTTAAACGCCATTAACATTTCACAATCTAGCCTAACAAAATGTATTAAAGACAAGTAAACAGTCAGACATAAAATAAGAATCTAATTACCAGCAATAGCACACATAAAACACAATAAAGCACTCTATTTCAGTCGTATCTGTTCGAAGGCTTCAGGTCTAACATACTAACAAGAAATAGCCTACTACAGATACTGAGTAATCAAATGTAAATATGTATTGATTCATATTAAAGCTACTAAAATGATTCAGTCAAAAGCAGTGAGTGATTTTCTCTCTGTCTTTTGTTGTTTGATTAACATTAAGGACACAGAAGCAGCAGGTATATTAGGCTGCTGTCACTTTAAGACCTAATGCACGGACCCAACGAAGATTGTATTCACAAGTGGAACACACAAGAATGTCACCACAAAGTTGTAATTACGTGTGAGAAACTCTGACCTTTCTTTAAGCCCCGAGTTTTCAAGTTGGGGGCGAGTGAGTGAGAAAACACGTCTGACGCAATAGAAAACAAAAAAAAGTGTCTGCATTAATGGTTAATTTGTTAAAAAGAATGAAATGTTTTTTTTTTCTCATTTACAGTAAACAGTATGATATTATTAAACAACTGCAATAGCATATTTAGGCCTAGTAAGTCAATTTCCAGCACCTTGTTAAATTGAATAGCAACATAAAGAAAAAAACATTCTTTAACTCATCATTTTGTCAATGTGAAGTACAAAAAAAAAAAAACTTTTTGCATTTTATGTAGAAAAGGTACATCTCCATCTTGCTCTGACCAAATGAAACACACCAGATGTCATAAAAATGGCTTCCCAACTCCCAAGAAGACTGGAACCAACACCAAGAGTTTGGACATAACCTTCTGTCTAGCAGGACAGACCAACAGACAGACAGCTAACGAGCTGTTTAGCTATCTATAGTAGCTAGATATAGACACAGAAAGATACACAAACATCTAGCAATATAGACGTCCAGACCAACAGATTGACAGACACAGTAAACCGTTTATCCAGCCATCTATCATTCAGACAGATGGAGAAGCCTCACCTTTCCTTGCAGAGCCTCGACCGTGGCCGTCTGTCTAACGTTGCCCACATGCACCGTCACCTGGAAGCCCTTGTGGAAAGTTTTGGTGTGGAAGAGTAAAACGATCTCAGCCTCAAAGCGCCAGCAGATAGTGGGGTTCATCTCTGGGCTGACCATCACCATTCCCTGCCGGGAAACACCCGGGAAACAACGGCTTTAAACGCTTTACACTACTCATTCTATATGGACAATTAACAATGACTGCAGAATAACAGCTCATTTTAAATCCTGGTCCATTTCTTTGGCCTCTACACTCCAGACACCGATAGACAAGCTCACCTTTCGTAATAGTGAACGGTCGAAATCTCCCAGCGCCAGAGTAGCGGCCTGTCTGGCTCTCAGCACCCTGCACCCGGAGCGATTCCTCTGGATACTGCACACAGTCAGCTCACGAAACTTCCCGTCGTCTGTGGGTCCGACCACCAGCTGCTCTCCCTCGCGGCAGATCCCACTGCACACACACTAGAGGTATAACACTACACATATTCTGTGTGGCTCTTTCAGTTCGGTGTGCATGTGTACCACATGAATACAGCATTGTTTTAACTACTGCACGAGTGGAACTTCATTGGAAACTTCCAGTTTTATATATTCTTACTTCTGATAAGAAACAAAGTCTCATCTTTCAAATTATGTGCATTTGTTCGGGAAATTCAAGCAATAAATGCCATTTTGGCGCTCTTTGATGTGGCGCGATGTTTTGAAATCACTTGTACCCTACCTGATTGAAAAAATCCAGTCTCTCACTCTGCCTGTGTCAATTTGAGTCTTGATAAAGTTTTAAATCGCTGCCGCCAAGATGCTCCTCTGTCGTCACGGATTATGGAAAGTGAAACTTAAATCTATAGGGGTGGTTGGATTTATTCACGCACGTTAAAATATTTATTTAAAGCTTCTTTCTTTTCAGATTCTTATTTACATCATTATTTTATAGGCTGTATATTAACTTTGGGAGAAAACCAGTAGTTCTATGTGAAATCAGACATTTGAACACCCCCATATAGCCAAAATGGCACGATCATAACACCGCTGCGAATAATCGACTGTGAGATTGGTATTCGAATCAGGCTCCTCCTATCAAAGCATCGAACCGTCGACTATTTGGGGTCAACCCTACTAGTTGTAATGCGAAATAAACACGAATGAACATCTCATGCCTCATGTAATTGCTCAATCAGTGTTTCAACCGAGGAAAGACGTCAAAACAAAATGTCACGTAGCATTTCATTTACCTCAGGCAAATCATCAGTCAACGCTCGTTAGCTCACCAGAGAAATGAAGTCTAGAGAACAGCATTTTGCAAAATATTAGACCATTTACTCAATATATTTTACTTTACCTGTTCGTGATGTCTTAATTATTTAATGCATTTTTAAAATAAATCTGTTGCGAAACAAGTTATGACAGCAACTGTGTAAATGAATATATTTCAACAACAAATAATTTAATTTAATAACTGCATTATGTGCAATTTACATGTTTGCATACAATTTTTAAGTTGAGTGTTGATTATTATTATAGTTACAAATAAATAGTACGTTACTATTTGGGCTCTGTTGTTAATTGTAACCTTATAGTAATGTAGGGCTCCCTATAGTTTAGATAGAGCATAAGCTTGGGTAGATTTTTAATTATCATTTTATTTTATTTAAAGAAAGAGAAATTTGTTCAGTAAACCACTGTTTAAAATAAGCTATTTTATGTTTCGTTTTTTCCTCCTGCTGTACCGAAACCATACCAAACATCATGTTTGTGTACCGTTACACCCCTATTAGACACTAATGCCGTCTTAGTGGATGCCACAGACAAGAGGAAAGAGAGGAGGACGCACCTGTAAAGAGTCCCACCAACTACTGTCCCCACATCCGGCACTGTGTAGATCTCGTCAACCTACAGGATCACAACACACACAAACTCATGAACGAGACAGGCACTAAAAAACAACAAATAAAAACTGTTTTTTTTTTTCAAACCAAATGCTGTTGAGACTTTATTTGGTAAGGAAGCTGGGATGATTTTACCCAATTTGGGTGGATAATCATTCATAATCAGTAACACAATAGTGCTAGGTTAGAAACATGGAAATAAAATAGTAAGTTCTAGTAAATTCCAGCTATTATCTGAGTCCTGAAAATACTTCGCCCTTAGGGATGCACAGCATTATCAGAACGTCATCGGAATCGGCCATTAAAGACTTAAAATACAATATGAAATATAAGCATCGCTATAGGTCTGATATGAAAAATGACAAATAAAGAGATAAGATCATGGTCATTCCTGAATCGAATGTTTGTCAAGGTTACATCAGTGACTGATTTGATTACATTTTCAAAGCTTTCAATGTACTCTCATTATAAAAAGATCTTTAATTATGTGCATTTAGTTCAAAAGGAAAGGAAAAATGTAATGGTATCAGCAACGGCTATTGGCCAAAATTAGATGAAAAATATCAGCATATCGGCAAAATCCAATATCTTTGCCTATCCACGTTCATGACAGGAATATGTGTGGAAAAACAGATGAAAACTAATCAAAGTGGAGAGGAGAGAAATTTGAACCTGCCTGCAGTGAAGTGCTCTTTTAATACAAAGTTTATTCCTGAATTTGTATCACAGCCTGAGACTTTGGCCTCAGTGTGTGTATGTATATATATACATATATATATATATATATACATACAGCTAACAAAATAACTGGTCAAATTTGGCCTCAAATGTAAGTTATTCAATATTCAATCAACAATGTTTAGAGAACTTGTAAAGAGCAACTTCGTTGAACTGTAGAACTGTTGATTTGCTATTTTTCTCCACACCTTTTCTCATTCACATACACGCCAACCCTTTCAGAACAACTCAAGATCATTAATGAGGGCCTTGTATGAAGTGCACAGCTGTACCTGGAACTCTGTGAGCTGCTGCATGAGCTCCTCCTGCTCCTTGCAGTCGCTGAGGGGAGGTAGAATATTAAAGAAGACCTTCAGCAAATCCAGACTTTCCCCTGATACGCTGGACAGGGTGAAGATAGGGGTGATGCTGCAGGAGAGCAAGGAAGACAACAGATTCTGATGAAGCGCTTTAGAGCAAAATCATGAAAACATCACGGCTGTCTTCCGTTTCACTCTGTACCTGGGCGACTGTGCAAACTTCTGGGCGGCAGTGACGGCGTCGTCTGTGGAGGACACCAGCATGGGCACTTTGTTGCAGCCCGGCTGCTTGAGGATGCGCTCGAGCTGTCGGACGGTGCGCTCCACGGTGCCTTTGGCGCACAGGTCCACCTTACTCACCACAATGAAGATGGGCACCTTCAGCGCCATGGCCAGACCCAGGTGCTCTCGAGTCGTCCCCGCTGAGAGAAGAGAGAGAGGACGCATCTTACATGGAGAAATGGGGCAGAGCGAAGAGAACAAAAAACGTCCAAATGCATGTTTTCAGTTGTAAACTCTGATCTGGTCAGTATTGCATGTTTAGATACTTCAATCTCAACCTCAGATGGTGCACACCTACTGACTGTCTGAAACACACTGGACACACACAAAAAAAACTTAAGGAACCAGTGAAAATTAACTTCAAAATGTACACTTTTTACCAGGTTTGTGGAATCAGTTCTTTAAAGAGATTCAGTTTTGTTTGAGACATTAATAGCAAGTAAGCTAGATATCCACAAACTGAACAGTGTAGTCCACTGGAAACGTCTGTGATTGCTAATTCTGTACGGCTGGAATACAGTGTTGCACAGATTTTTCCCTGATTTGCAGATGGATGAGCAGATACTAGTTTCTGAATGTCATAGCCAGTCTGCAGAGAAAACCACACAGACTCTTCTTTTGTTGTTGTTGCTTTAGGATATGATTCCATGCAGTCAGAGAAAATCAGACAATATTTGATATTTTGAGGCAATTTTATAACTTTGTTTTCAGTTGTGTGTCTCTTTCTGTGCAAGTTTGTCGTGTTCGGTGTGATCCTCAATCTATTAGTATATGATAACGGTTTACAAACTCGGCAAGTACACAATGCCTAGTTTTAAAGTCCAGGCATTAATGACGGCTAAATTCTGTGGAGTTTCCTGTAAGAACCTCTGTGGATCACCATTATCTTTTTCCAAGCCAGTTTTACTGTGGTTTGATTAATTACATATTTCCCAGACCCTGAAAAGTACGTAAACAGAATAAACTAGGAATGTCTCAGGGGCCGATCAAGCGTTTTTTTAACCAATCTGGAAATATATTGAAAATATTTACATGTACATACATTTATATATTTATATTATATATAAATATATTTAATATATAAACAGCATATTTTTCTTAAATATATACATGCATGTGTTTGTATTTATATATATACATAAGAAATATACACAGTACACACATTATGTAAACAAAAACTTTTCTTTTGGATGCGATTAATCTCGATTAATCGTTTGACAGCACTAATTATTATTAATATTTTGGCAGTGCTTTATTTTACAGTCCTGTTTTGCATGTACATACCATGTACTATGTTCAGTTTAATGAACCGAACTGAATCCACTGACTCGAGTTAATAACAACACTACTATCTCGCTACAGCTGCTACTTTGTATCCGCCTCATTTTAGAAGTTTACTGCGAAGCTGCTTTGAAACAATCTGTATTGTATTAAGTGCCATAGAAATAAAGGAGACTTGACTACTTACTATTGCAATTACCTTACTAGGTAATATCTATGTATTACCCTGAACCTACTCCTAGTTGCCTTCTATTACTCAGTACTTTAAGTATACTCTAAGTGCATGCACTGTAAAATCAAATGCAACCAACATTCTAATTCCGTTTAGAGTCACGGAGTTCCGTTTTAGAATTTACACCTTTACAAAGACAAAACATCTGAGTGCAATTAATCATACTTCACTGAGCCAGGAATCCCAGCGACACACTCAAGTGAAAGTGAAACACTCATATCTGAGATAATAGCTTCATAGATATGGATTACGTCCATAGTGTTCGGTTCCAAACAGAGGATGTTTGTTTGATCAGCCTGACTGGACACGACAGCATCAGCTCAATCTGCGGTGTTAGTTTGTGGTGGGACTCAAAGTCAGTGAGGGTGTGTTTATGTTTGCTGGTGCACCTTCCAGCTGGTGGCTGCGGCCGGCGAAACCCTTATCAGAATGTGACTTATGTAGGCGTGTGATAAGCTTTAGCAGGTCATCTGACAGCCAAACGCGTAGAGCGTCACTGACATGCCTTCCTCAAACTCCCAGCTGATTCACACAGTCCAGAGCATGGAAATAACAGCGGGTCACGTCCAGCTGCCTGTGTGGCAGAGCAGTAAAATCTGTCCAAAGTCCAGCTGTCTTCTGAGGTTAATGATTGGAGAACTGGACATGCCTGTGTTTGCATGGATTTGCGTATGGAAAGTCAAACTCAGAGAGGCGCAGCAGACACTGTACACCGCCGCCTCCGTCTGCTCTTGCATAATTTAAGCGCGCTGGTGTTGCGTTGCAGACAGGGCATCGTGTTCTCCTTCAAAGACATGCGTGACCCGCTCGCCCAAATATCTGCTCCTATTTCTGACACGCTACTTCCCAAACCAAAACAACATAGTGGTATGTCAGCATATGCTCCAGGACCAGGAGGCACACCTCCTGTACAAAACCTAGCAAGATTTTTAGCAAGAAATTTGCAAACTATCACTCATAAAAAACTAATTGATCTGCTGATTATAGTTATTATACAGTTAATGGCAGCAGGAGAAATGCTTTACACCAAGTTTCTGTCCACACTGCACATAAAATGTGACAATCGCAGTTGAACTGAAGATATTTGAGATTTAACACAAGAGTTAACAGATTTCAGGTGATGGATTTGTTTCAAAAACGCAGCTTTTGTCCTCACAAGACATTAACTGATGGACTGGAGTGGTGTGGATTATTGTGATGTTTTTATCAGCTGTTTGGACTCTCATTCTGACGACACCCATTCACTGCAGAGGATCCATCGCTGAGACACTGATGCAATGACACATTTCTCCAAATCTGATGAAGAAACAAGCTCATCCTAAGCTCAAATGGCCTGAGGGTGAGTACATTTTTAGGTGAAATGTTCCTTTAAGTAAGGGATAATCAATGGGTTGCTGTGAATTAAAAGGATTTTAAATGCATGACGTGGAGGCAAAGAACCGCCCGACGCGAAGTGCATTTAAAATCCTTTAATGCACGGCACCCCGTTGATTATCCCACTTATTCCATGGTCATTTGCCAAGTTATAGACAAGTTAAAACTAGTATTGCTCTTTGCAGCACAATATTTGACCAAATGGGTAAAAATTAGTTATTTTCGTCAGTTACGGCACGTTAGCTCTAGCATTCTGCCTGCTTCAAATCAGACAGAGATGAAATAGTAAGGTAAGATCACATTTATTTGAATAAATTAGAGCATTTATTTCAACTAATTATCGATCGAGAGAGAGAGAGAGAGAGAGAGAAAGAGAGAGAGAGAGAGAGAGAGAGAGAGATAGAAAGAGAGAGAGAGATGACAGTTATGTGTGCGTTACCTGCATGCTGCGTCTGCACGTCTCTCTCTACAAACAATTAATTAGGCTACTTCAAAAACAGCAATTTTAACACCTCGTTGCTGAGGGATATAATGTAGAGATCTAGTATCTAGGCTATTTTATTAAT